ATGGTAGGAATACATGAGGCGGTAGCTAGTCCACAGTCTTACACAATACACATGAAGACGTTCCGGGCCGGCAGGCGTTGCATGCTACTGCCGCTTCCCGTGTGCCTGCCTCCTCTCGTCGGCGATGAACTCGAAGAGGCTACCGTCGAAGCAGCGGCGAATAGCCTCCCTCGGAAGGTTCCCCTCCTCGTCCTTGGCGAGCATGTACAGCAGCATCCACTCCCCCTTGCTCGCCACCCTGAATCAACAAGTACCCACGGATTTATCATTAGAACACATTTCTGCCGTTTCACCCGAGAGAATGGAGCACAAAATCAGCGTGCAAATGGTCCAACGTGTAAAACGAAATCAGACCATCCAAATGGGTCGTTCGCCTGCCGTTGGCCGTCGGTCATCATCCAGATTTCCCGGAATGTGAGCTTATCCGGCGAGGCGTTCTTGCTGAATATGTTCTCGAAGTTCACCGGCATGTACCTATGAGCATTCACACAATCGCACATATATGCCGGTCATGTAACTAGCAGATCACAGACCATTCTTAGCACTACTGGGAAGTGTTTGATCAGTTACATACCTTCCCTCGGAGTCATAAGTCGCGGTGTCGCTCCCATGCTTGGCCCTGTGGATGTTGTCGATGTAGATTGGGAAAAGGAGAGATGGCACCCAGCTCTGTGTCCGGAATACAATAGGTACAACAGGGAATTGTATCAGCCGGGGGCCGTGGAGGATGTTCCTCGAGTTAATTCTGACCATTTCGAGACTTACATGCAGAGTTGTGTAGCTCAGGGTAGTATGTATGCCTATTGCGATGAGGATGGAGACGATCATGTTGAAGCCCAATGCCCTCAGTCCTGAAACCAGTGCAATATTATATTACCAACAACGAACACTTTTACTGGCTGCTCAACATGCTATCCGTGGAGGAAAACTGATTAAAGTTTACTGACTGCTACAGTACGAACTGACGTAACTGAAAGTTTACCTTGGTAAGTTTCCCATGGATAGATGACGCCGTCGCCATCCATGTCGAAGAAGGCGACGTGCTGCTGCAGCACGCTCCTCTGGCGGTGCTGGTGCCCGCCCTCCTTGCTCCCTCCGGGATGGTACACGTCCGGCGCCACCAGGGCTCGGGCCAGGTCTGCAAGTCACGGGCCTGTAAGAATTCGCCGACCGGGCCAGCGGGGAGGGGAAGAACAATCGAAGAAGAATCTGGGCTGGGCACCCACAGGGCTTCGGGATGCGCTTCTCCAGGTCCGCTCGGACGGGCCGCCGGGCCGTCACGGGCGCCCCCTCCGCCACCGGCGACAGCTCTTCTTCCCTGACCGCCCTTGTTGCCTCCTCGGCCATGGCGCTCGGCTCGATCGCTATCTCTGCGTATCACACTGTGCGTTACGGAGGGATCGATGGTGTGTGTGGATGAGTAAATTCTGTGGCCTTCTGCTCTTCTTATACGGGGCGGGGGCGGTGCCGCGGCGGCAAGGCCCGGGGGAGGTGTGTGCCGTGTACGCATATGGGCAGCCCGGGGGAAGGGATGAGTGTGCTGACTCGTCGGTCATGCGGGGCACCAACCTTCGCCGTGGCGGTCGGGTGGCCAAACGTGGTGGCATTCGTCGTGGCACTCTTTCACGGCGCACGTCACGCGCGTGCCTGTGTGGCGGTGTGCCTGCCTGCCTGCCTGCCTGCCAGCACATAGTTGCGGTCGATCTGCTCGGCAAACTCAAGGGAGCGTCAGGCGGCGCCGTCGGTTTGGCCCGTCCGCAAAAGTAGTGTCACGGGTATCGTGGCGTGACGCCCATGGAAGTTAAATACCTCCTCTGTTTTTCTAACACGGTACAGACGCACATACATTCACACTCCCTCTGTTTCTTTTTATATGAAAGTTATATTTTGTAGAGAGAAAAATCACATTCATCATTTTTTGCGGGGTTCAGCATTCACCATATAAAATCAATATTATTAGATGCATCATGAGTTTAATTTTCCATACTATATAACTTTATTATTGTAGATCTTGATTTTATTAATATATAAATTTAAACCAAAATTTATGTAATTTCTCTTCAAACAAATTTTATATGTGAAATAAAAAGAAGCGGAGGGAGGGAGTACCACACATCACACCATTCCGGCCTACACGGGTTCACGACTCCCCGCAATCTGGCATAGAGAGTGCACCACCAAGACCAACGATATCACAAAACTGGTGAATGAAACTTGTGTTAAAAATGATATTATAGACGAACTGAGCGTAGCTTACATGGTTAGGTTCCTTGTAGTGAAACCAACTCATCAGTGTTCAAGTCCTAAACTTGGTATTGGTGTTTGTATTTTTTTGAATTTTTCAGCTTTCTGACGATGTTCATTCAGTGAGGGGGGACGTAGCTTACATGGTTAGGTTCCTTGTAGTGAAACCAACTCATCAGTGTTCAAGTCCTAAATTTGGTATTGGTGTTCGTATTTTTTTGAATTTATTTCAGCTTTCTGACGATGTTCATTCAGTGAGAGGGGACGTTCTCGTCGACTACAAGGCGCTTGTGCTGACTTCATTGATTTCAAGATGATTTACTAGCTAAGTATCTCACGGATGCTCATACTCCTAGAGTGTGCGTGCATACATTCATCTCTGTGTGTAAGCATCTACAACTGTACTTTCTCCGTTTTAAAATAAGTGTCTTAAGTTTAGTATAACTTTGTACTATAAAGTTAAGACTTATTTTAGGATGGAATGAGCATTGTGTTTAAAGAAAACGATATCACAGAACTGATGAACGATGTCAAGTGAATCTCAACTTCAAGTAAACAAAAGTATTGTGTTTAAAGAAAACGATATCACAGAACTGATGAACGATGTCAAGTGAATCTCAACTTCAAGTAAAAAAAAGTATGTGTGAATCTGGGCATGGAGACCTATCGCTTTTTTTGACTAATTAATTGCCGGAAAAAGTCTAAAATAAACCTTAAATTTATAGACAAGTGTTAAATTAAACCTTAAATTTTTAATCCCTGAAATCAGCACACCAAACTCTTCGATCCCGGTCTATTTTAAACCTTAAGCGCATTACCAAACAAGGATTGCGGATGTGGCAGCTCAAATCCGGGATTTGATTGCGACCCGACACGACTGGGCCGGCCCACAATGCGCGACGCATGGACCTGACAGGGATTCGGCTGTGACGGGTACAGTGAGTCGAACTTCAGACCTGGCCGTGCAAAACTCGTATTGCTTGCCACTCCTACTGCAAGCTATTTTTGTGATAGACAAGAGCGACTTTGTTTAACATATAACAGCGCCGAGATTTGGAAACATCTCGGAAATTTTATGAAACATTTTCTTGAAAATTGTCATAACAAAATTGAAATCCAAACATTTTCGCGAATTTTTGGAATTGCGATCTTTTAAAAAAACACAAACAAATTTTGAAAACATGAACCCTTTTTAAATCACCAAAAGAATTTTTTGGAAAAACTGATTTTTTTAAACCTGAACACAATTTTAAAGTGCGGAAAAATTTGAGACCTGAACAAATATTTTAGATTTGTTCCCATTTTTAACAAAATAGAAAGTGCTCACACTTTAATTTTTTTGAGGTTTTAAAACTATGTTCACATTTTTATATAAAAATGTGCACGTTTCAAAACATTTTTTAATTTTCTTTTGAAAAGTTTCTTGAAAATTGTCAAAAAAATTGGAATGAACATTTTGTTCAAACACAAAGAAATTTTGAAAATGAGAACTATTTTTTAAACCTGAACATTTTTTAAAGTGTGAACACTTTTTGAAAAAAACATGTTGTGGTATGTAATTAAATAGTTTCGTGCTTCTTTGTTTCAACTAATTGTCGTCGGTTAGGTTGGCTAGCGGGAGTTCGGTGTGCTGATTTCAAGGATTAGAAGTTCGGGGTTTGATTTAGCTGTCGACTACAAATTCAAGGTTTTTTTGTAGACTTTTTCCTTAATTGCCCGTGCATTGCAACTAGGCATGAATGTTTTAATAGCTCAACACTTATCTTGACAATCATATATCTTTAGAATTCTTCATCCATCTTCCTAACAAAAGATCCTTCAAGCAACATTGTCATTGTTTATAGATAAATCAAACTCCTTAATCCTCCTCCATCTACCATCTTGGTCTCCCCAATCCTACGACGTTTCACACCCACGCATCAAATTTTGAGGAGGTTTTTTGCCATATCTTTTCGCCAAGAATTAGCGTTGAGGCCTCTCCCGTCGTTCCCTTCCTACACCTGTCCTCTGTGAGGACGCGAGCTGGCTGAGGCTATCAGGGGCCCCATATGTTTGGAGGGATGCATATGCCGCCATTTTCGTAGCGGTAGCTCCACCTCTCTTGCCTCGTGCACCGGCCTCCCCTGTGTGGGCCACTGTGAAGTTTGTTGATGTGTTGGTGTTGATGTGTTGGTGTGGTCCAAGTCCTCTAGGTGTTTTTTTTTTACATTGAAATGTTTTTATTCCATTAACCAACGAGCGCAGCGCGACCCGGCCATACGGCTTGGGGACTGGCGTCCATCTTCCGCCGCGAGGGCGTCAACTACCGTCCGCTAGAGTTGCTCTCACCTTCCGGTCGCCGGCGAAACCCTGCCGCGGCTAGGAGGTGACACACTCCAACACTGAAACAAAATTCCATTACCTGTTCTAAACACAGGGGGAACTTTTTTTTTTTGCGGGATACAGGGGGAAAACTCTAACAAGTACTCCCTCCGTTCGAAATTACTTGTCGTAGAAATGAATGTATCTAGATATATTTTAGTTCTAGATACATCCATATCCGAGACAAGTAATTTGGAACAGAGGAAGTACTGTACTAACATATCAACAGTGGCGTAACGTAGCTACCCTTTTTCCAAAGAACCAAGAAAACTGCCGTAACGTAACTAGAAATGACCAAACGCAACGGAGGCCTCTACACGCTAATCTTGTGCTGTAATACTATTGCTACTTACAGTAGAACCGAAGAATTCAAACAGCTACCGTCGATGCAGATTTCATAGCATAGCGGGCCCAATCTCGCGCCCTTTTGTCGGTGCCTCGGGGTGGTACCGCTTCCAAGGCCTGTAGTTCTTGCTCCCAAGCATCTTCTCCACCTCCTCGAACTGCAGGCCCTTGGTCTCCGGCACGGTGAGGAACACCACGATGAGCGCCATGAACGACACACCGCAGAAGAGTAAGAAGGTGGCCGCCGAGCCCAGCGCCTTGGTCAGGGTCAGGAACGTCTGTGTCACGATGAGGTTGGACACCCAGTTGGCCACCGCGGCGATGCCGCCGCAGACTCCCCTGAACCGCAGCGGGTATATCTCCGAGTTGACGATCCATGGCACGGTGCCCATGCCGGGCGAGTAGGAGATGATGTATGCGCCCAGCGCGAGCAGCGCCAGCCACCCATACTTGTTTGGGCACCCTTCTGAATAGAACTCACGGTGGTCGGCATGGCACACCCCTCGCGTTTCGTTGTTGAGTGCCAGGCAAGCGCCGGGAAGAAGCTGTGCATGGAAAGATTTGCCGATCATGAGCAATTCCTGCAAAAGAATGACACCAGTTTTACAATGATGAACAAGGGACCGAATTTACCGTGTTTCCTTGATGAGCACAAAACCCGCACGTGGATGCGGCCCTGAGGCAGTCCATGCAGCTCCAGTGGACGTTGGGGTTGTACTCTGGGCACGTCTGGTTAGCGAACGGACGCATCTCCACATCCCTGACAGGTGGGGCATTGTGCGCGGCTCTGAGGAAAGTGCTGCCAAGCACAGCGAGCCACACGACGATGCCAACAAGACTGAGGAGCATCAGGCGCCTCCGGCCGACCCTGTCCACGAAGAACATGCTGACGATCGAGCCGACGGCATTGAGTCCTGAGGTGATGAGTGAGAGGGCCATGGCCGTGTCGTTGGACGCGAAACCCGCCAGCTGGACGATCGTCGGACTGTAGTACATGACGGTGTTGATGCCGACAAACTGCTGGGCGACCTGCACAATGACACCGGCCATGAGGCCACGGCGGACAACCTTGCTTCCAAATGCTTTCTTCAGCTTGCCAAATACGCTCTGCCCGCCTATGGACCCCTCCAGGACCATCTCATCTTCAACTGATTTTCGCAAGGACTCAATCTCTTCTTCCACCTCATTTGCAGGGTAAATCTTCCGCAGAATGGTGGCAGTTTCCTGTTTCCTACCCTGTTAGCCAAGAGAACGAAACCTTTTAGAAATTTTAAGCACATTTCCTTTGAAAAGACATACTGCCAACATTTTAATTTCTCAGCAACAATTTTCTAAGACATTGTACTATGTACAGACACTAGGCTATGTGACAATGGTGTTTTCCAATAATCTGACAGCTCATTTGTGCAGAAATACTGACCTGCCTGTATAACCATCTTGGTGATTCTGGGAGCGTCAACATTAGTATGAACTGAAGAAGGGCAGGGAATCCTGCAATGCCAAGCATCCACCTCCAAGTTCCCGGCACCTGACGGAATTCACAGAGATATCATTATTGCTACTATTTGATGAAAAGATTTGATCATGTATCAAATAATGGAACTTTTTTTTGAAGGAACATGGCAGTAGTTCTGCCTTCTCATATTAAGAAGAGGGAAAGGAACCAAGGTTCCAGGTGTTGTACAGAGCGACCAGAGCCCACACACACATTTAAAAGAAACAAAACTCAGGAAACCCAAAAAGTTAATAAAGACACTAAAAAGTAGCCTCCTTGAACATTGCTATTTCATCTCTAGCCATAGCAGCGAGAGTCTCGGGGGAGCATCTCTTCACTTCAAAAGTCCGCCTATTTCTCTCTTTCCAAATAATAATGGAACTTCAAAGTCAGTCATCTAGTACCTTGGTGAATGCCAGATTAATAAGGTATGCCATGAACTGCCCTCCAGTGATAAGAAGGCCATTTGTGCTCACTAGCGCCCCTCTTATTCTAGCTGGGGAGACTTCACAGATGTACAGAGGCGCAGTCATGGAAGCCATTCCAACTCCAAGACCAACAAAGCCCCTCCCAACAATGATAACAGCAGGTGACGGGGCAAAGGCCATGATAGCGGCACCTGCAAGGAACAGAACATCTGCGATGATGAGGGAAGGCCTCCTTCCAAATCTGTCATTCATCCAGCCACCAAGTCCAGCTCCAACAATAGCTCCAGCTACAGCCATACTCACTATTGTTTCCTGCATTGGAATCAACCACACCATGAGATGTTATAGCTACATGAGTAATTTACTTAAGGGCTTAAGATTGCAGAAACTGAAGTCGAACCAGATTGCAAAATCCATTAATATAACCACACGTACCCTTAGAGTGGTGTTCTTTTGTAACTCGATAAAATCATCTCGGATGAACAGAAGTGCTCCAGATATGACACCTAGCAACAAAAACTATATGTCAACAATGAGATAAATTTGCCATCAACTGCAACCCCAAAGTTTAGGTAAACATATATAGAAGAAACATAAGCATCATCATGGTACCTCAGCAAGTCAGCGGTAGAAATAGAGACCAGTGTGCCTGTATCTTGTGACGTGTAAGAACATAGTTCATACCTGTATCATACCCGAAAAGAAGACCGCCGATGCCAGCAGAGAAAACAAGTCGAAGAATATAAGGTTGGCTACAAGTCAGGCGTAAGCACTCCTTAAAGTCAGCCTCGTCTGCTACACTGGCGCCCCCTTCCATTGCATTCAACGGCCCTTGTGCACCTGACATACGTTCAGAAGAGCTTGGTCACTCACGCACCAGTAAGAAGAAATCCAAATGTACTAGTATATAGAGAATACAGGCTTTGGGCAAAATAAATACTATATGGTTGCTAAATAAATATAGAATGATTACTGAAATTTAAACAACTTGAGTAAATTATTCCGTTCACAGATATAATATATACTTTTATTGGATCACAGAATCTCAACATCAACATCAGTGAACGCAAACTGGGAAAGGAATCTGGACAGACATTGGGTACTAGAAACTGACATTCATGGGTGGGCAGCCTTAAACAATGCCACTTTAGGCTCGGCCAACAGAGAAAACAATGCTACTTCAGGAATCTAGCCATAAATCAAGAAGATGGAATCAATATGTCCTACGTAGTAGATATCATAACTATAATATGTACAAAGTTGAGTCATCTATTTTGGAACGGAGGGAGTATATACAAGATCCTATGATCCTGCGCTGTCGTGGTAAACGAAACCTCAATCTACGAGAATCTGCAGAAAACAATGATAAAACCAAATTTCTCCTTTCCAACCCGAAACTAATCTCGCACCCAGGATTCGCAGGGTCGGATCCAGATTCTAGATGGTGATGTGGAAGTCAGTGGGATGTAACCAATCGCCCGATTCGGAAGGGGGAAAAATCGTCGAGACCATCGGATGAGTGAAACGGCTTATACCTCAGCAACCAATTTCCAAAACTGCCGACGGGGCAGCGGCAGCAGCGTCGACTCGACGGGGCAGAAACGGGAGGGACGCGCGCGCGTCAGCGGCGAAAGGGGTTTGCCGGGGCTGAGAGGCGTCGGCGGCGGCAGTCCTGGGGCGCGGCGGTGGGCGGAGGAGAAGTGTAGGAGAGATCTTTATGGCCGCATTGGGCCCGAGTGGAGCTTGAGTGGGCCAGGAGCACGGCACAGGCAGGTCGGGGGGAGGGGGCGGACGGGGCGGCGGGGAGCGAAAGTCGGTGGCGGGGAGCGATGGATTTTTGAGGCGACGCTGGACGGGAGGTTCGGGAGTCCACCACGGGTCCGACGCCACGACGGGCAAGTGGTGCGCGCTTGCGGCCGGGTCCTTTCTCCGGAGAGGGCGGGAGCGCCTCCATTGCTGTCATGCTGTGTGCGTGTGCGTGGTGTGCGGGGGAGAAACGGAAAGACAAATCCCACGGCAGCGTATTCGGTGCTCTTGCTGGTATCTTGGGATTTGTTGCGTCTGGCGTGCTTCCAAATCATACTAGCGTAACCAGAAATTCAGGAGAACCGATTGAGGCCTCCTTTGGTTTACATGTACTTTTGCAGGAATTTTTCGGATGGATATGAATTTGTAAAATTCATTTGGAGCCGTTTGGTTCGTACACGTGAATTCCTTGCCTATGTGGGATAGAGACCTATCATTCGCATTTCAAACGAAATAAAACAATAGCCTGGACCCGATGAAAAAATTGTTATCATATGATTCAAGTGACATCTCTTTCCTTATAGAAACTTAGATACGTGCTATCTCATTTCTTATAATATTCTCGGTAAATTTAACAATTTTGACTTGTGGATGAAATCATTTCATAAAATAAATTGCTTCTAAAAAAATTTCATTTAGCTGACCTTTTTGACTAGCGCCCGATACGAAGACGCCACACTACACTGTGCAACGCCTGACAGATAGGCGCTACACGTCTGTCAGCGTCGCATCCCGGACTGCCCAAAAATTACTAAGTCAGTGCGCAGTGCCTGAGAGCTAGTCGCCGCACTATACAGTGTAGCGCCTAGCCTCTGGGCGTTGCACAAAACGCCTAGAGGTTAGGCGCTACACTGTATAGTGCGGTGCCTAACTCTCAGTCGCTGCACATTGACTTAGTAATTTTCGGATCATACGGGTGCAACACTGGCTAGGCGTGCAGCGCCTCTCAGTCAGGCGTTGCATAATGTAGTGTGGCGTCTTTGTGTCGGGCGCCACTAAAAAGGATCAGTTGAGTGGAAAAAAAATTAGAGGCAGTTCATTTTGTAAAATGATTTCATCCACAGGCCAGAATTGTCAAATTTGCCAATATTCTTATCTTATAAATTAAAGAAGGCCGATCGCTACGAGCTACATCTGAGGAAACACAAATATGTTGGTCGTACATCAAATTGTGCGGGATGATCATTTTGGTGACTAAAGTCAAAAAATATGTGAAACTGATGCTCAAACTTGACTCATGGTGTAAATACGATGCAACTTTTGTTTGAAGCCGTCAACGACGCATGCGCTGCGTGCTAGCATGGTGCTTGGCCCACTGTCAATTACTGAAAGGGAAGGACATTAAGGCCGCATTCGGACTCTCTCCGCTCCGCGGCTCCGCGCCGGAGCGGAGTGGCTTGCTAGGTATAATACGCAGAGCTGCTAAAAGGGCGCTCCGCCGGCTCCGCTCCGCGGAGAGCGGCTGAACAGGCCCTAACATCGCATTTTTTGGAAAACCTCCCAAACAACATGAATTAGCACCAAATCTGGTTTAAAAACCCCAGAACACTACTATGCGTGTCTAACAGACTAACACGTCAAGTCCCATCTGTTGGTGAATAGTATGAACAAAAATAATTGATATGTACTCCCTCCGTCCGGGTTTATTAGGCCCGGAGACGAGATCAGCATGACCAAGAAACCTAGTAATCCTCTTGATTAAGGCGAAAATTTCTGGTGTTTAATTGCAGCGTACGCTTTGGGAGCCACGTAAGTTAATGCGCGCATTAGCTAATCCATCCAGTGGCCCAGAGTCCATGCGCGTGCTGATGCATGGCTGCCGGCATGACCAATCAGATGAGCAGGAGAAGTGCATGCGTCCGTTTCGGTCGCTGCATGCAGCCGGCTAGTTAATTTCCCTCGATCCGTCCCAACTGAGGGCTCATTCGGTTTGGAGGAAATCTAACCGTAGGAATTTGGAGTAGTATAGAAATTTGATAGGATGGCACTTGCCACCCTAAGAAATTGACTTGCCTCGTTTCTACGCGTAAAATGAGCTTTAAGTGGATGTGTAGTTTCCTCCAAAAGCATAGGAAATGAATAGTATTCCTACGAAATTCCTTTACGCATTTCCTACAAACCGAATGCATATATAAGAAAATTTCCTCTGGAATCCTTGTTTCCATGTTTTTCCTATAAAAATCCTCCAACCCGAATGAGGCCTGAATGGATTTGATTCCAAGGAAATTAATTAGAAGGGCCTAATAAATCAAGACATGCTATTATGACTGAAAGGACTAATAAACCCAGACGGAGGGAGTAAAATGGTAGCGAACCTGCAACCTCGTGTTAAGGGTGCTATCCACTTCACTAGATCTCACTGATAAACGGAAAGGATAACAAGACTTAGGGGCTGTTTAGTTAGTGCCCAGGCCTGCCGGACCAAATCATGGCGAGCCAAAATTGGCGCAGGGATCAGCCGCCACCAGCTCTCTAATGAATAGGCATGAAGTACGTACGTGTGACCAAAAAAATTGGCAGCAACTATAAAAATTGGCATCAGTCCAAACCCCTACCAATGCTGGTAGTCACGATAATTTAATTTGTGTCCAGGCTAATCTACACCTGATGGACAGTAAAATAAAAACAAATAGCATAATTCTTTTTTTAAAATGTTTTTTTAAATGCTAGATGCTCAAATGTGTGATGTTGGTGCAAAAACTAAGTGTGTTTGGACATTTGAGGAACTCATGGCAAAAAAAGACAAAATCAGGTGTGAAATGTTTTGTTTTCAGAAGTTTCTCAGCCATCCGATTTATTTATTTTTGCCACGAGCTCCTTGAATGTACAAAGTTCATCAAAATTTGCATGGGATCACATACATGAGCATCTTGCATAATCTACTCTTTTTTCTATTCAAAACGATCTTATTGTTCATAATAGCTACGTTCGTAGTCAATGCCAAATTTTGGTATGATAGCTCAAGGCTGTCATCCGAACACACCTTACCATGTCTTGTAACTAAACACGCTCGTGGAGCTTAAATGGGCTGCAATCGGTGCGACCTATTTTTGACATTGTAGTTTTTTTTTCTTTTTTAGAAACTTGTAAACCGTAATCACAATAAAAATAATGTTTGTATCTTGTAAACAAATACATACAAATAAATAATTTACTTTAAAAATATTCACGTAATTAAAATGATATTTATAAATTATAATTATTTTTGTAGAATTAAAATAATATTCATTTGAGGACCTGCAGTCTGGGGGCACACTATTCTCGTATTTATGTTTTCATATATCTTTTCTATTTATTTTGTTTAATATACATGTATGTATATTGCAAACACACAAACTTTATTGACACACATGAATAGTCTTAAAACACATAAACATTCTCTTAAATATGAACACTTCTGTATACTACATGGACACTTTATGGGTGCTACTACGCGTCGGCCAGCGGATCTGTAAAAAGATCTGTCACCTCCCGAGATGTTGGATCGAGCGAAGTGAGAGACCGAACGTCATCCTCTACCATTGCAACAAAGGCCGCGTTGCAGTGGAAGGAAATATGCGCTAGAGGCAATAATAAAATTATTATTTATATTTCCTTATATCATGATAAATATTTATTATTCATGCTAGAATTGTATTAACCGGAAACTTAGTACATGTGTGAATACATAGACAAACAAAGTGTTACTAGTTTGCCTCTACTTAACTAGTTCGTTGAATCAATGATGGTTATGTTTCCTAAGCATAGACATGAGTTGTCATTTGATTAACAGGATCACATCATTAGAGAATGATGTGATTGACTTGACCCATCCGTTAGCTTAACACGATGATCGTTTAGTTTGTTGCTATTGCTTTCTCCATAATGTATACATGTTCCTATGACTATGAGATCATGCAACTTCCGAATACCGGAGGAACACTTTGTGTGCAACCAAACGTCACAACGTAACTGGATGATTATAAAGGTGCTCTACAAGTGTCTCCGATGGTGTTTGTTGAGTTGACATAG